TTTTTCAGAGTCCCTTCTCGATGATTGCCATTTGAGGAGTGAGGATGTCGAATTTGCCACGTTGCACAAAGTTATGGCAGCTGTTCCATATTGCTAGATTGGAAATTAAAATGGAGATCTATTCAAATTGTCTGACACTTCCAGCAAGCTTGAAAGCAGTGCTTTAAAATATAACAGAACTCTAATTCGGGTCCTGAGGGATAGTCAGTAACACTGAAAGTACACATCGTCTTCCAAATGGTCTTTTTACTACTTTGTGTCTTTCCCTCTTCCTTGCTAAATTCTGCTTTCTGTGGCAGCCATTTGATGCAGCTGAAGTCAACAAGAATGTCAAAGACCAAATCCTAGGCGAGAACATTTCAGCAGGTCTGGTCTGTTATGACAATAAATATTTTCAGGAATGTTTAAGCTATGCTAACCTTTAAAAAAGAATGGCTCACATTTCTATTTTCTTTCTTCATAAGTGTGTGGTGCCTGAATCTGCTTAACAGTTTCTTCATCTAAAGATAAGACTGGATTTATCTGCAACTCTAGAGGGTAATGCAATCTCTGAGTTTAGGAATTTGTTGAGGTCAGCCTTTGCCTGTCAACACACAATCAAACCTAACTTTGTGTTAGTGCTGCTGCTTTAGTAACGCTAATTTTATAAAGGCTACAAAAACTCAATCTTGGAAATGAAGTTCTTTGAAACACACGTAATTCCAGATCTGTGCTTCAGAACTCAAAGATTCACCAGCTCGATTTGTTGTCACCATGAAATATTGCTTAAAAGCATTAATGTTTTTATCTGGTAATTCTTATTCCACAGAAAGAATGAACTGTAGACATCTCTTAGCATTTTATTTTGTTGTCCTAAATATGCCAGTTCATTACTTATACAGAGCATTAATCACTACAGTAAATGTAGCATTGTGATGTGTTCAGGAAATATTTGATGAGGCTTTATAAAGGCACTCCATAAGAAAAGGCAGACAAAAGTAGTCTATGTTGTTCCTTGTGGGTGAAATTCACCTGCCCAAAGCTCAAATAAATATGTGACAGACTCTTCTGCTAACACAACTCCAATTCCACTATTATCTGTTCTGTTTTGCTTCCCACACATCCTGTAATGATGAAGATGCTTGCTTCTAAAATACCACTTGCTTTTGCGGGGAGGCAGTGGGAACTACAGAGGGCTCAGTGGGCCCTGGAAAGAGCAATGTGCTATTGATTAATCTGTCGTCTGAATGAACCCTGCTAAAGAGCTGTATTTCCAAAATTCTGGATGAAAGAATCTGTATACAAATAATGGCAGGAGGAGTGCTCTCTGGAATGATATGACTACATAAATAAGCAGTTCTTCAGTGCAGCATGTGGTTTTCTAATTTCCAGTAAAATGGAATGAGTCACACATGACAACACCACTGCCACTAACCAGTGTGGCATGGCATCTGAAAAAGATAGCACTGGAAGGGTGTGAACTGCAGAGCAGATGATGGGGCTTGAAACATCGTGTTTGCTTTGGCAGAGCAGCCACAATCTTGATGCTTTCCCACAATCTGCTCCAAGGATATAGGTTTTGTTGAGCTGTATCAGATTATTGCTCTGGGAATTTGTGTGTCCTGCCTTTGCCAATGGACAGTTCTTGATGTTTCAGATAAAGATAAATGCCCAGACTCCCCACAGGGGAATTCCAAAGTTAGATGGTGTTTCTTCAAGTAGGGTTTACATTACTGCAGAATTACCAAGGGAGGTTTTCTCTCTCCAGTACCAAATCATAAAGGATACATCTACTCAGTCAGGCAAACAAAGGCCCAAGACGGCTCTCAAGTCCAGGCTCACATACCATACATATTATTTGTATGTAAGTACATGCTCTGGTATGGGCCTTAGGCTGGGTTCACTCCAGAGGGAAGTCTAGCCATAGTCATGTTTTAGCACAGGCCCAAGATTTTCCTACTCATGTTTGGAAAGGTGCTGCTTGAAGTGGAGCTGCACAGGAGAAAAACTCCCAGTGGCTGCTGCTGCTGTTGGACCCCAAGTCTGAGAGGAGGTGATAGGGAGTCTCAAAAGATGAAAGCTCAAACTAAAGGGATTAAAACCAATCCCCTCCCCTTTATTTCTGCTCTCAGGCCTCTAGAACTGGGGATTAGATCTTCTGGTGTTAATAAACTGAAACTTGTTCATGCAAAATGTGAACAGGCATCTGTACAAAAGTAAGCTGAAAATCACCTAGGTCACATGCCTGGACCCTGTAGCAGGGCATTAAGGTTGTCAGCCTGGTAGTTATGGATGACTTGCGCTTTCTTGGTTCTGTTACATGAAAGTCACATCGGACACTTTTTCCTTCAAATGTTTCTCAGAATGAGTACTTGTGAGAGGCAGGATGGGAGAAGGGCACAAGTAATCCTTTTTCTTCTCTTGTCACGTCCTCAAACGCAGCGCTGCTGAGTGCTGTATTTAGGCAGATGTAATGGTGATGTTCTAGGTGCCCAGCATCATATTTTCATTGATTTATGTTGCTTCCTCGCTGTCAGTGTTGTCCACACTAAGGGCTCAGGAAGAACAGTAGTTCAAGCTGCAATTTAATTCCCTGTGGATGGAGATTTGCTGTGACAGAAATGCCTGTCGTGCTGGCAGTCTCTCACATCTGCTGGAGGCAGAAGAGTATGTGAAACAATAACTCTGCCAGCAGATGTGGTTCTGTAGGGACAGTAGTGTCTGTGGTACGAAAATTCTCTCCCAAAATACAGATCTGTGGGGACAGTAAGCGTCTGTGTAAGTGACAACTTTGCAGCATCTGCTGGGACAGTAATGTCTGTGATACGTAAATGCATCTCTGCATCTGCTGGGGCACTCGGAGAGAGATGTATTGTATATACCCAGTTTTAGACGTGAAAATCTCCTTCACTTGCCTTTAATTTGGGGCATTTGTTTGATTCTTCTTCCCACAAGGTTAATAAGAACCATCTTATGCAAGAAGAGCTAAAGGTATGCGTGAGTCTTTTGCACGTAGGACAGATATTGCCACATCTCAGCTGCCAAAAAAATACTGCTACATTTTCTCCTACCATAGTATTAATCATTAATGGCTTTGTTCTCAATGAACAGCCTGAGTATCTTCAATGATGCTCTTGTGAGTGCTAATGCTTTGTGGTTGCAGTGAGAACATCACATGAGCAATGTGTTTGTTCAGAGCTGAGATGCACCACAAACAGAGTGTTCTGATCCATACCAGACTTCAAACATTCCCAAGTACAGGTACGTGCAGATAGAGATTTTAATTTGGCCTCATCCCTAGGTTAGGCACTGCACCCAGGTTAGGAAGGATTGCACTGGAGACAGTCAATTTTTGAGCAGCAGCAACTCCATTCAGATGTCAGGGTATTTTGCTACAACAAAGGCTGATGTTGACATTTTTTCTTAGATAGAGACAGATGCAAGAGCTTCTGCCTCAAGGTTATCCATTATACAGTATATTAACTAGATGTTTGAACATTGTGCTTCCTGCAGAGACAGAAATGGATGATGATTAATACTTATCAATTAAAATCTAATCTCTTCCCATGTGTATTTATAAGCTGAACTTCAACCTATAAGGCAGTTCTGTGGCAGGAATTAGATATTCTTTTTTTGGAGAGCACTGGGATATGGTCAGGGATAGATTATTCACTCATTTATTATGAGTACTGCATTTGTGCCTAGATTTTGCCTAGGCGTTGTATATAAACATAGTCTTTGTACAAAGGCATTTAGAAACAATTAGCATTAAAGGGACAATTATTTTCCTTCTTGTAGCAGCACTGAGTAGGGGGGAAGGGATGGAGGGGAGAGGAAGCTGAAGGTTATACATGTTTTATGACCATAATTATAATTAACTATTTCACAGATTTAAATTAAATTAAAATTTAATTATAATTTACTATTTCAGAGATTAAAATTGACGAAAAAAGGCTCAAGGTTATGAGCTACCTCTAAGAGTTATCCAGCTCTGTCTAAACATACAAATATAAATCTTTTCTTCAGTTTTTTTAAATCTAGCTACTGTTTAATAGATAGTGTCCGCAGTGCGATAGGTGCTTTGCAGCCTTGAGACGCCAGTGCTGCATCACGAACTGAATACTGGCCCAAGGGCCGTGGTAACAAAGAGCTCCAATCCCACAGCCGCGTGCAGAGGAGCACTCCATTGAGAGCGCTGCATGCAGGGGCAGCCTGGAAGGCTGGGCTCTAAACACATAACGGGAGAGCAGAGGAAAGGCAGAACGATTTCCATTTTCAAACTCTGGTCAGCACTGTTGTTAAACACCACTTAATTTGGATATGCAGTGTGATAACCCTTGTTTGTAAGGGAGAGGCAGAATGGAACAATAAGTGAAGGAGGCCACTTGCAATCCAGGTTGAGAGTTTGAAGTGGGCAAGTGATCTGGCTGGTTAGTTCTGATTTATGGTAAAGGCATCTTTATGCTTTTTGAATCGCCTTCCATCAGTCATGTTAAACAAAACCGCATTCTTGTAAGGCAGTTCATCCCCTACACACATGCACATGCTAATCACTCATGTCAAATCAACAGCAAATGCCTATGAAAAAAGTGCAGTGTGTGATGCCTATTACAAGAATCTTTCCTGTTTTAATATTCTGTAAACAAGCATTTTAGTTTAGTAAAGCCATTAGCAACTCGTGTAAATTTACAGCACTGTCAATGTTTTCAGAGACTGGTTGTGACTGTTACAGGCCTGAGACTTTTTCTGGTTTATGTCAAAATTGCTTCTGGGACAAGTTGTCCCAGAATATCTTTGTTTTAAAAGAAAATATTTTGCAAATGAATTCTGTAACAGGGAGAGGTTTACACTTATGGGGATGGAAGCTCATGTGGAGGAAATCATCAACAGCATCTCCCCATTTGTGTATTTTGATGTGACATTCCTTACCATGAGGGAAAGAGGCGCTTCTGCAGCTTCCCTACCCCTGAGCCTCCTTCCAGCTCAGGGAGGTATCGCAAAGCCACTCACCACTCCATCTCCATTTTATTTGTTGTCATTTATTAACACAACCATACTGGTTTGAGATCTCTGCCCATCTCTTAGTAGAAGGCACCCAAAGTGGTTGGAACAACTAGTGGAAAAATAATAAATGTTTTCAGCTGCAGTTGTTCAGCTTCTGGATGAGTTGTTGTTTATAAACATCTTGTCTAGAGCTGTCAAGAGGTGGAGCCAACATCATTGAGAGATGATAAATTCTGACACGGTACTCTGAGATTTTGCTGCCACTGAATGTAGGTTAATATGGGATTCAATGGGAAATCTGGCTTGTCTATTGCTACGTATTGCAGAAAAAGAACTTTTCATTTGTCTGCAGATTGCTAATTGAAGTTTATTGCACATGCAAAAGGTTAATTTGGGTATGTTACCCCAGTAATCACATGTACTGTCTCAGAATAAACTATACTCCTATGCCTATTAATGATCTGGCCTGTGGGATTTGGGACATTATTTTGTAAGATTATGGCAAATAAGCATTTTAGTAAGCAGCAGTGTCCTTAAGGGTAAACAACTGGGACAGAGTGGAGTTGCAAGTCTCTGGTATGAAATCCTTTTCTTTGACCCTTAATTTAGTTATTCCCCAAGATGCATGTAATTTATTCTTTGTGATGATACACTGAAAACAGAGGTCTCATCTGTTCTAGATGAAAATTATATCCTATTCTTATTATTGCTAATGCTTTAGATTTAGAGTAGTATTTAAAGGCCTCAGATTAATTCATGACTTCTTCATGCTAGGTGCAGTGTATGTACACACAGTAAGCGCACTGCCCCAAAGACCTTACACTTTAATTAAATAAAGGTTGGAGGAAGGAAGTTTTATTACCTCTGTCACAAATGGGAAATGATAACAGAGAGAACCTAAAAGGACTGAGAATTACACTCCTCCTGCAACGAGTCCTGTATTTGCCTGTAATATATCCTCCCTTCCTGCTTTTGTTAAGCTGCTGTAAATTGGTAGGTAGATGGCTGGTCTCTCCCTCAGAGAGGGAATTTACTATAATGCTGCGTATGTTTCGAGGTTTTATGTAATGAAAGGCATTATGTAGATAGGTAGTGCTTTAATTTAGATCTGATTAAATTATTCTTGAGAAAAATTTCTGTGGAGTAGGTAGATCCATATGAGTCTTGTGTGCACTGCTTGTTGCCATATGAGCACACTATTGCATAGATTCTGTGTTCCCAGGGGGGCTGCACTGTTGGCACGTGCATGTTTTAAGGCACACCAGTATAACTTTTTTTATTGTTATTATTATTATTATTCCCTGTAGTTTTCTAAAATAGTAAAAAAGCAATAGCCCTCAAGATGTTGGACCATTGCACAGGATTCATGGGAGGCTTGACACACCAGTGCCCGCTTAGTCTCCCAGAAATGCATCTCCTTCTCCCCCTGCCCCTGGGAAGTGCTGTGCTTATTCTGAAATGCATTTTAAACATTTTCAGTTTGAACTTTTGGCTTAACATTAAAAAAAAAAAAAAGCTAGATCTTCATGAAATCTTGTTTTGGGAAAATTTTTCCTATCATCTAGGCACATAAACCTGAAGATAACTTGCTTTCCTTTTTCCTTAGTCAGTACCTGAATGTTCAGTACAGGTGTCTTGGGCTGAAGCACAACCAGAATTTAAGCAGATGAGGTGGAGAGGGAGAAAAAAGGGTGTAACATAAATCAGGAGAATAAACAAACCAAAGAACAGGTAAAATCCAAGCACAACTCAGACACTCTCCACGTATCTTTGCATTTCAGTATTAACGGCCTTCGCTGTTGGATTTCACCAACAGCAGTCCTCTACACTGACAGCCTCTCCCTCACCTCTGTCCTGTCCTGCCCCTGTCTGGTAAACGGGTACAGTTATTTTCTGTCTCACAGATTTTAGAGTCCTTGAGTTAAAAAGGCTGCAAAAATAAAATTTGCATTTTATTTAATAATAAACAGCATTATTTTTATTGCTGTCAAAGGCTCTGTCCATGCTTTTTCTCTGTTTAAAGATGCCCAATGCTGAAAATAATTAAGAGCCTTCTAGTTCCTTGAGCACTCAGAAGTAATCTCTTGTTTACCCCCTAAGGAGGTGAAGTGTAAATGTGTAAAATAAGTAATCTTTTAGATATTAAACCACCAAACTTCCTCGGTTGATGAGACAAGCCAAGCACTGGGGAAAGCACATCACCAGTGTATACCCTTACTAGCAAACACTGGGGCTTTGTTATAAAACATGCAAACATCCTGAGGAAGTGCCAGTAATTTGCAATAAACACTGTGTGTAAACAATTACCTGTGACTTGTTACACTTGTTTGTACAGGCAGCTGGCTAAACAGATCTGTGGGCACTTGTAAACCTCTGTGCCCTTCAAACTTGATCCTGGAAAACAATTAGTATTTGATTTCTGAAGTAAGAAGTTAAGTCTTTTGTACCTCGCAGCTGGCAAGGACTAAGTGTGGATGCTTAGAGAGACATGGACAAAAGCTGGAGAAGTAAAACGTGATGGTGGCGGTTTTATGAGAACGGCGAAGACACTTTCATGTCTTGTCACCCGACTAAAGGAGGGGTTTTGTGACAAGGTACTTGATGGGAAAACTGGTTTTACTGGTGAAGGGTCCTGTGGTGTCAGAGAGATGAAAGTGGTTTGGTCACGCAAGGTCCAAGGAAGGGGCAAGGGTGATTTATTTTCTCGTGGCTCAACAAGATGGATGTTGGGATCTGCTAGCGCAGTTAGGCGTGATGCGCCCTCTCCCTTCGGACCCTGAAGCGTTGATGCTGCACGGGTGGGGGCAGCCGGGGAGCGCAGGATTTGCCAGTCACAGCGCATCCTGTAACCCACGGCTCACCCCGCCCGATCCCTACGCAGGGCAGCCTGAGGAGCGGCGGCACCTCCGCTCTCCCGCTCCAGGTGCTGCCGCCGAGGACTCGCTGCTGCTGTGCCCCCAGGGAGGAGCAGGAGGCACCTCCGCAGCCGCTGCCATCCCGCGGCTCCCGTTGTCCCGCCGCAGGGGGAAACCCAGGGGAGGGCCCCGGGGCCGTGCGAGGAAGCTGGGGCCGGGCCCGGGCCCCTCGGGTCTCGGCCGCGGCGTTGCGCGCGCGCAGTGCGCAGCGCGGGGGAAGGGCGCGCAGGCGCAGGGCGCGCCCCGGCGGCGGGCGGGAGCCGCTAAGGGGGCTCTGCGCTCTCGGTGCAGCCACCGACCCGCGGGGTCCGTGAGGGACGGGACGGGACGGTCCGGGCCGCGCAGCCCGCCCGGTGCCGGCCTCCATCGAGTGCGGCGGGCGCCGGTGCCGGCAGCGCGCTCCTGCCGGGGCACACAAAGGACCGCGGTGTCCGCCCATCTCGGCACACGCCCCCCTGCCAAACACAAAATAACCACCCAAAGGAGCCCAGCCCCCCCGCCGGCGCTGTGCCGGGAGCGGGCGGGGAAGCAATCCCCGGCCGGCGAGGAGACGGGCAGCACGGCGAGGCCGGGGGAGCGCAACCGGGCTGCGGGGCCCGGTATTGTTTCGGCATCCGACAACAAAGAGCGGAGCCGGGCCGGGGTGCGGGGGGTGGGGGGGGGTCAGCGCCGGCCCCTCCGCGCCGCGCCCGGCCAATGGCGGCGGTGCGGGGCTGTCAGCGATCGCGGGTGCGCTGCGGGCCCCCCCCCCGCTCCCCCCGTCCCTCCGCCCTCCGCCCGCCTCTCCGGAGCCGTCTGGCTGCAGCAGCGCCTCAGACAGAGGAGGGGAGAGGAGGGAAAAAAAACGCTGAGTGAGTGGAGTGGAGCCTGGGAGGGGCTCCTTAAAGAAACGCTGCCGTCGCTTGGCATTGTGGCCGGCGAGGAACTCGAGGGGGGGAAGCCATCGGAGCTCCTCTCGCTATCCTCTTCCCACCCCCCCACCCCACCCCCAGCCAAAAAAAAAAAAAAAAAAGGAAAAAAAAAAGCAAACCAAAAAAAAAAAAAAAGCAAACCTCCGGGGGGGAACCGTGGGGGGGGTCCTGAGAACATCTTATAAACCGGATTGCACTGAGCGGAGGGGAAAAAAAGGAAAAAAAAAGATACAAAATATACAAGCAAAAGGCAACAACTCCCCGGTCTCCAGCAGTTGCCCACCCTCCCTTCCCTTCTCTCCTGCTGGCCATCTGCCTTGGGTTTTCCTTTGTGTCTGATCTTTTACTACTGAGCCGAGCGCAGGAGGAGGGTGCAGCGCTCGCAGGGACTATGCCCAGCTCGCTTTTCGCAGACATGGAGAGGAACGGGAGCGGCGGCGGCGGCGGCGGTGGCGGTGGTGGCGGGGGAGAGACCCTGGATGACCAAAGAGCCCTCCAGATCGCCCTGGATCAGCTCTCCCTGCTGGGGCTGGACAACGACGAGACGGGCTCCATTTACGACAGCGAGCCTCGGAAAAAGAGCGTGAACATGACCGAGTGCGTCCCGGTGCCCAGCTCGGAGCATGTCGCGGAGATAGTGGGGAGACAAGGTGGGTGACGGACGGACGGACGGACGGACTGCATGCCTCCCGGGGGTGCGGGCCAGCGGGGCTCCCCGCCGCGCTGCCGGGCGAGTGGCTCAGCTGTCGCACTGGCCGTGCCCGGGCGAGCTGCAGCCGTCCTGTGGTGGCCAGCGCCGGCTTCACCAGACAAAGAAAGTGCGGCAGTGATGTTCCCGAGGAGCGTTATGCATCAGTTTCGGGATGCACTTTCAGCTGCCGGGAGGGGAAAAGAAAATGGAAAAAAAAAAAAAAAAAGAAAAAAAAGAACAACCGCGATAATAATAAAAATTCGCTCCTTTCCTCCGGCTGCAAAAGTTAAGATTTGCAAGAGGAAACGGGAGGAAAATGGGAGCCTCGATGCTTCCTCCCCCCAAACTTAGAAATCGTGGATTATTTTTAAGGAAGAGAAATGGAGTGGGGAAGTGGAACAATGGGACTGGAATAAAGCATCCGCAGTGGGGAATGTGGCTCATTCCATACAGCCGCTGCTCCTCACCTTCCTAGGAACTGATTTTATTTTTTCGAGAGGAAAGTGCTGAGCAGGAATGCGGACTGGCGGGTGTCTTGGTTTGTTAGGGCTGCTTGCATTTTATTTTATTTTGTTCTGGTCATGCAGTTTTTCTGCACACTCCTTTTTGTGTTGCCATTCCTGTGAACTGCACGTTGGTAGTTTTGGGGCAGTTTGCATGGCAGATGTATCTGTGGCCACTTGCGATGCCTTTGGGTGTGTGCCAGAGCTGTGGGCTGACATTACTTTACACTGTGACTGGGATGACTGGACGAGATGCCAGCGATCACCTGGGGTAGGGGGCAATGTGTTTCGGGTGGGTGTGTTTCTTCTCCCCTCCTTAGCTGCACCCAAATAATGGGTTGTAACCGGTTCTCCCCACCACCTCCCCTTCCTCCCCCTCCCCTTCGCCCTCCATCTCCCATATCTCTGTTCCCAGGTTGTAAAATCAAAGCTCTGCGGGCAAAGACCAACACCTACATCAAGACCCCGGTTCGCGGGGAGGAGCCGCTCTTTGTTGTGACGGGCAGAAAGGAAGATGTGGCCATGGCCCGCAGGGAAATCATCTCAGCGGCCGAGCACTTCTCCATGATCCGAGCATCACGGAACAAGAACACAGCCCTGAACGGCACTGTCCCCGGCCCCCCGAACCTGCCCGGCCAAACCACCATCCAGGTGCGGGTGCCTTATCGCGTGGTGGGCTTGGTTGTGGGGCCCAAGGGGGCCACCATCAAGCGCATCCAGCAGCAGACGCACACCTACATTGTGACCCCGAGCCGGGACAAGGAGCCAGTCTTTGAGGTGACGGGCATGCCCGAGAACGTGGACCGGGCCCGGGAGGAGATCGAGGCGCATATCGCTATGCGCACCGGCGGCATCATCGAGCTGACGGACGAGAACGACTTCCACGCCAACGGCACGGATGTGGGCTTCGAGCTAAACGGCACCGGCAGCCTCTGGAGCAAGCCAACGCCACCCAGCATCACGCCCACCCCAGGCCGCAAGCCCTTCTGCAACTACCGCAACGACAGCTCCAGCTCGCTGGGCAGCGCCTCCACCGACTCCTACTTCGGCGGCGGCACGGGGGGGGGCGGCGGCGCCCGCCTGGCCGATTACAGCCCCCCGAGCCCGGCGCTGAGCTTCACCCACAACGGTAACAACAACAACAACAGCGGCAGCGCCAACGGCTATGTGTACGGCGGCGGCGGCGGCGCCGGCGACGTCCTCTCCTCCCCGGACTGCTGCTCCGAGCTGCCGTTCGACTCGCCGCCCGGCTTCGACCTGGCGCCCGCCCCGCCGCCGGGGGCCGCGCTCCTCTGGCCGCAGTTCGAGCGCGGCCCCGCCGCGCCCCCCTCGCCCGCGCCCTCGCCCGCCACCGCCTTCCCGGGCGCCGCGCCCGCCAATGCCAACCTGGCGCTGCTGGTGAGCGGCCCCCGGCGCGGCGGCGGCGCCCCGCCCCCGGCGCGGCTCTCCCCGCCCCTGCACGGCGGCGCGGCGGGGCCCGAGCACCCGCTGGCGCGGCGGGTGCGCAGCGACCCCGGCGGGCGGCTGCTGGCCGGCTCCTACCCGCTGTACGGCAACGGGCTGGGCGCGCACCTGCCGGGGCTGCCCTCCGACTCGTCCGGCTCCTCCTCCTCCTCGTCCAGCTCCTCGTCCAGCTCCTCCTGCTCGTCGTCCGGCGTGCGGCGGAAGGGCAGCCGCGACTGCTCGGTGTGCTTCGAGAGCGAGGTGATCGCGGCGCTGGTGCCCTGCGGCCACAACCTCTTCTGCATGGAGTGCGCCAACCGCATCTGCGAGAAGACGGAGCCGCAGTGCCCCGTCTGCCACAGCGCCGTCACCCAGGCCATCCGCATCTTCTCCTGAGGGCCGGGAAGCGCAGGGCAGGGCCGGGCTGAAGCCGGTCGCACCGGGGCCCGCGAAGGGGGTGCGGGCTGCGAGCGAGGCGCGGCCGAGGGAGGGCGGGGGGTGGTGGTGGTGGTGACAGCGGGTGCATGCTATAAATAATAACGGGCGACTCCATTCTAGTGCTAGGCTAGTTTTTACACTGTACTTTAATACGAAGCTTCCAAAACTCCCCCTTTTTTTATAAACAAACAAAAGAAAAAACATAGAAAAAAAAATACTGAAAGTAGAAGATGCATATGATGATGACAATGGTGTGTGGACTGTTAGTAAACCGTGCTGGTAGTTCCTAGGATGCTTATTATGAAATAATTAAATCTATGGGTGGATACTTTTCTGAATGTTCTTGAAAGGGCAAGAAGTTCCTGTGAAAAAAACCATGATACTGCAGCTTTATCAAAGTTTAAAAAAGAAAAAAAAAAAACCACAAACTGTAACATATCTCTTATATATATTAAAAACGTTTAAAGGTTTTAAAGATAAATTGCATTAATACAGATTGAAGTATTTTATTCTTTTTTGACTTGAAAAATTATATTTCATATTGCAAAGATGTTTACAAGTATTTTAATTTAAGTTCAGTGAACTTTTTGTAGCTGGGTTAAATCTTTTTTATTTTAGTATGGCCTTATGGCAAAGAACACTGTATTATTTTAATATCACACAATTGTGAACGGAATTACAAACCATAAAATGTGTAATGCTTTGAACAGTATTCTGTTGGGATGGAGATTTTATAGGTTCAGAAAAAAAAATCTTTTAGATCTGCTTCACCCAGCATATTTTCTATTCAGTGATATAAAGCATATTTTATTCTATATTATTACAAAAATGGAAATGTATAAACATATGTCAAAAGGAACTGTTGAAGCTTTCTAACATTTGTATAAATAGAATTCAGTGGAAATTACAAAAATTCTGTTGCACCACTATAGTTTTAGTATTTCTATTTTAATACATTTGTTTACCACTTGTTTATGTATATGTAGGTGACGTTACTTGAGCTTAAATGTACTTTACTGAGCAAAGTTTAAAAAACAAAGTATATTTTATTTTATGATAAAGGGCCTTTAACCTCATGGTCAAATACTAATATTATATTTGCTGAGACAAGATTTGAAATTGTATCAAGAGTTTTATTTTTCTGACATTTAAAGTTCTACATAATAAAAGTAAAACTTAAGTAATGGTGCTACTTCATGTTTTTTTAAGTATTTCTATATAAATAAAATAAAATATTACAGAAAAAAAAAAGAAGTGCTCTGTGTCGTGATTTGATGAGATGTGCTGAGAGTTTCTTCTGGAATATTTCGTTCCCTGCTTGTAGCACTGAAACATGTTGGGAGTTCAAACTCTGTCATGTTAATGTTGCTGGAACTCTTTAGCTTGTGAAAGCTTCCAGAAGAATCCTGCCAGCGATTCAGCGATCATACCTTAGAACATGTTTTTAAGGGAAAAAAAATGACTTGTGTTTTTGTAATGTGTGGTACATTGCTGAGCTTATTCCACATCTAAAAGTAAGATTTTTTTCTCAGAATTTTTAGTCATGAAAAATACTTGTTGGTGTGTGAATTGTTACCTTTAAGTAAAGCCTGTGTAAGAAGCAGAACCGGCAGCTTTGGTGTGTACAAACTGCCGTAGCAGGGGTGGCTCTGCTGTTGGCTGTGTTCTGTAAAACTCATGCCTGGGGACCTCCCAACACTGCCCAGACCTGGTGTTTAGTTCTACAGTGGAGCCAGGGCTTCAGCTGCCTTCCTGAGTGCTTGGAAGTGCTGCTTGGTGTTTGATGGTTGTGGTTCAGGTAATTGGTGTTGACAAGCTTATTTGAATACAAAATTTATTGCCATATAAAGTTTGTTTGCTTTTGATGGTACCTGCAGTGGTGTTGGGGTGAAGGAAGTACAGAGAGCTTGTTAGCTTTCTGACTAACGAGCCTACGAACCCACCAGGCAAACCCCGCAATATTTTTGTTGCTGATTGTAGTCAACGTGTTTGAATGAACTTGCTGGATAGAGCGTGTCAGAGCATATTTCAGGAGGTAGCTGCAGATCACTTTAAATGTTGGTTTTGTGCATGTGCCGGTGCACTTCTCAGCAGGAGAGTGCAAACAGCAAAACAAGCCCTAAACTGTAGCGTATTTCATACGTCCTACTTTGTGCTTAGCAGTGTGTGCCAGAGCTGCTCTGCTCCGATCTCCTTTATGGACTCCAGAGCTGCTGGTTGGGTGGGAAGGGGGAGGAGGGAGGATGCGGCAGGGGATGATGGGATCTCTTTGTTTGATTTGATCTGATTTTTGCTTCTTTCATTGAACTGTGATTGTGGTATCATCTGATTTATAGAGTTAAAATCTCTCACTTGAGTGTTGCATTTGTGTCAGGAAGCTTGTCATTTTGAATGATGGGTGGTAAAAAAGACCCCACCCAGTGCTGTGGAAGAGAATCCAGAGAGTGGCAGAGAAGGTGTGCTTAAATACAGTAGTGGCACAGATACTGACCAAAAAACCCTTGGCAAAATCGGTTACTTCAAAAGGATCAGGAAGTTTAAGTCCACATGTGTATTTTCTTAATGATGGGTGTTTAGGAAATGTACTCAAAATGCGTCAATCAATTTCTTGTTTCAGTGTAAACATCCTGTGCTCTTGTCTGGGTTAAGTTGTGAAAATGGGTATGAATAAAAAAGTGAGTTTGATCACTTTGTATTTCTCAAGCTTAGTGAAACCAAAAGGTCAATAGGGTGAACAGCAAGTGAAAACTAAATTCTCCTCCCTTTTTTTTCCCCCCTTAATGTCCAATGCTTTGTGTCTCCGTGATGTTGACAGCAGTGGTACAGAGGGCTGTGAGCTGCCGATGTTCCTCTGGAGAACTGCACTTGTGCAGCAGCTTGACAAACGCTATGGACAGGGCGGTGGGACAGGGCATTGCCCTGCTCAGTGCTGAGCCCCTCATTAATGTGACCACCTCATCGTCTGTGTTCATCCTGCAGGACTTCACTTGCTATTTTCTTTACCAAGCTGTGGCTGAAACAAAGACAATCCTCTCTTCATCTGTGGCTCTGGTGGCCTTTTTAGCCTCTGTATGCTGTTTCACCCCTTTTGCATGCTCCAATGCTCCATGTGCAAGTCATTTGAGAGATGGGAAGATGGGCTGCAGTGCCTTAAAACCTGATTGTGTTCATTTCTCTTTGGGAATTATTTTGCCTGCAGAGGGATTGGTCTGGATTACTCTTGCTTTGGTGTCCAATGATGCTTTTGCCTGGTGGCAGCAGCAGAGCCAGCCCTTTGCCGCCCAGCACGCTGGTGGGGTCAGCAGCATCCACCCGCAGCAGTTCTGATGTAGGGCTGGTGTGTTCCCCTCTGTTGGCAGGTTTTCAGAGGTGTGCTGGCACATGCAGGGTCCATTGTGCTATGTCTTATCCTGGGTTACAATGATGTGCCCCAGACCCAAATCTGTTCCCGGTGAGTGTGGTTTTAAATCCCTTGTCTTTGGCTGGTAGAGATGAGTGTGTGTAGGAATGTGCAGGCTACACATTTGTGCTGCGCCCCAGATTTATGCTGAAGGTCAGTCCCTCAGACCGCAGAGGCCATAAATCAGCACAGAATTTGTCCCAGGGTTTGGGGCCATATGGTGTATGGGAGCAGGAGAGGGATGCCCATGTGGAAGAAGAATAAAGTCCTATGTTTGGTGCAGGAATATTTCAAAGCCTGAGAAAGGGGCAAAGTTCAGTTTCTAATTGAGTGCTTTGAAACATATAGATGTATACGGTCAATGTTTATCTTCCAGAACAAAGATCACTTTGTTTTGCCAAATGTTTATGTGTTGGTGCTGAAAACTGCTCCATGAGAGGCTCTGAGGCAGTGCTCAGGGGTGCAGATGTCCCCATCACATGTGCCCAGCTTGGCCCTGCTGCCCAGCCCGCTGCTTGGAGGGATCTGCGAGGACCTGCACCTTCCGAGTGTTTTTCTGCCTTTGCTAATGTACGTGTGCGGTTCCCAGTGCGTATACACATCATTATCTCCAGCAAGGGTACATTTACATCTGTAAGAATTATTGCATACCAAGTCCTGAGCTTAATTATTCCTCTGTCCATATCTTGTACTCCACAGAATTTGCATAACAATCAGACATCAAAGCCAGAACCCTTCAGTGGAAGAAAGGCCTTTCCACTATATTATTTTAACAAAATAAATTATAATGATCAATTTAATCTAAATTTACTCTTTAGATATTTTTTCTGCAAATCCATTGAAATGACACTTAAAAGCAAACTTTAAATTTAGTGGTAAGAATCTAGTACAGTAAGGTATTTAAATTAAATTGCGTTTTGTTTGATGTTTCTTATTCCTCTCTACCCCTCACCCTTCTTTTTTTCCCTCCATTCTCCTTGTCTTGCCATTTTGGAAATTGAACTGTCCCTGAAGTAAATGGGAATTCTGCTGCTGGAAGAGCACACTGCTGGGTGTTGCATTTAATTGATCTAGAAATAGCAAAAAGTAATTATTCACCCTGTCTCTGCTTATTTGTGTTTCCTGTACCTGTTGCCTCTCTAGTAGAGATGTTTCAATTAGAGAACAAAGAGCATTTTAAAGCAAAGGTAGTTAAGTCTGTATGATCATTTGAATTCCTGATTTACCTTTTTACACTAATCAAACTGGCAAATGCCAAGGGACCTGAGTTTGCAGGTAAAGAAGTGCTTTATTTGATGGTGGGTGATGTGGGAAGACACTCATAACTGCTGTGTTCTCTTGCTTTGTTCTCAGAAAAAGTATATATAGATATATGTATGTGACCATATATTTAATATATACTTGTGTACACAGGTGACTGCTTAATATTGTCCAGAAAATCATGGATTATAAAGTCTTTCCTTTTTCAGTGCATTAAACACACTGTAATACCAGAAAAACTTTTATTGCAGTTTTATTACTTGATATTAAGGATTTTAATGAAGCTTTCACAGTTGGATATGTAAATTAATTACATCTCATCTAATTTTTAATTTTGATTAAAATGTAACAAGCTTATTCTGTCTTACTTTTGGTGAATTAGGTTCTATCATGATGTGCTTATATAGTGATGAAGTTGTATCAAAACCACTTAAGCATTTGGTATATGGATTATTCTTTAATTTTATCTGTACACCTATAGCATGTGCAATTCTGACTGTGCCCTAGATATATACCTGCATATGTGCACAATAATGTGAATACCATAGAGCCTGGTCTGTAAGGTTTGTGCAGTCCTGGTAAATAGCCTCTATCATGTGATTTAGCGTAAGGTGTCCCTGCCCATGGCGGGGGGGTTGGAAGTAGATGATCTTAAGGTCCTTTCCAACCCTAACGATTCTATGATTCTATGTTGAATTTTTGGCTTTAGAATCATAGAATGGTGTGGATTGGAAAGGACCTTAAGATCATCCAGTTCCAACCCCCTGCCATGGGCAGGGACACTTCACACTAGACCGTGTCACTCAAGGCTCTGTCCAGCCTTGCTTTGAACACTTCCAAGGACAGCGCATCCACAATTTCCTTGGGCAGCCTGTTCCAGTGCCTCACCAATCTCACAGTAAATAATTTCTTCCTTAAATCTCGCTGTTTAAGTTTAAACCCATTACCCCTTGTCCTATCAGTATGATTGCTGATGAAGTGTCCCTCTTCAGCATCCTTGTAGGCCCCTTCAGATACTGGAAGGTTACTATGAGGTCTCCGCACAGCCTTCTCCAGGCTAACCAGCCCCAGTGCTCTCAGTTTCTCAGCCTGCCCTCATACGGGAGGTGCTCTAGCCACCCGCCATCCTCCTACCACTACTTAAGGAGTATCAGGTGTGGCTGCAGGAATTACTTGGATTCATTCTAGGCTGTTTTCTTCTGGGGTTTGAGCTCCATGAACCCAATAGCAGAAGTCCCTCTTGATCAGGAATTAATTTGGCCCATAAATTAAACTCTGGGAAATAAGGTTTGTTTGCATATAAAATCTTCCCTAAGGCACACAGATAATATTTCTCCTTAGCAAACTCCTTAATATGGGTTTGTTATTTGTTTGTTTGTTTTTTGTAGGAAATATTTTGTCATAGCTTTTGTAGCAACTTATAGCTGGTAAGAAGGTTATTGGTTAAGAAAATCAGTCAGTTAATATATTCATACTAAATGTGTCTTACACCTTTACCACTACATTAGCTTAGATTGATTAGCTGTCTCGAGAAATTTATGGCCTTTGATAAGATTGCACCAAGAGAAGTTTCTTGTTAGTTACAAATGGAGAACAAAAAGAGATTTTTTGATGTTACTCGTTACTGGTTTTCCACTTGTGATGGAGATGAAATACAGTGAAGTGCTTTTTCCTCTCATGTGTAAGGGCTCTTCTGCCTTTCATACCTGGTAGAATTGTGTGCCCACTCTACATTAGTATGAATGGCAATTGCCTTGTAAATGTGACTGCTGTGAATGGGTGAATAGTCTGACATCTCCTATTTTGTCCCTTGTCTTTATGTTTTATTCACTTTTACCCTCCACAAAAGGGCCATAATTCAGACCTGAGAAAATGGTAGCATGCTCCAGTTTGTTATAGATCTTGTGACAGGTTTTATTTGCTTTTGATGTTCTTTATATTTTGATGGGTGTACTAAACAGTAGAAGCTATTTTAATGAAAGGGAAAATTCAACGAGAGCGTGATCTAGAAACAGTGGGTTTGATAGAGTCACAGAAGTTCCTGATATACGTTGGGAAATTATTTCCACAAATTAACTGTAAAGGGCAAGTAAATCACCTCCCTTTAAGAGTTAGAACAAAACAGTGTTTTTCAGGATCTTCAGTTCTGCTACTGAGTCATTGTATCATCTCAGCTAATTAATTTTACCTTTTATATGCTTCAGGATTTCCATCTGTGAATGAACTAATGACACCTACTTACAGGCAGCATTGTGAAGTTTAATTAATTGACATTATTGAAGAATCCTGAGGTTGAAGTCCTGATGTAAGTACAAATATTATTACTGATACTTTGTAATTAATCAGTTCACAGTAGCCAGCGTGTGGGAATCATTAGTCTAGAGCAAACAAACACGCAACTACATTGTATTTGAAATCTGTGTGGAGTTTTTTTCCCAGATACCTGGTTTTACATGTTATCTGAACAATCTTACACTGTAAGTGTAAGAATCTCCCTTCCTCCTGTTGTACACACAGGTGTGGTAGCCTTGATGTGGGAGAAATACGAGATCCCAGTGTTATATGTAGGTCCCTGCTAGCCTTTGTTGAGGATACAGAAAAGCAACTTGGGCTACCAATTTTCCTGCTTCCTCTGGTGTAACGTTACTAACACCTTAAAATGTGTCGCCCTTTTTTAATGGATGCTAAAACGTTATCGTTATAAAGAAGCGTACAGCACTGATGGAGTAATCCCTGTGCATTTTGCTGGCTGTTACTGAAGAGAGCTTTTTCTGGATGAAGGCAGATGGGAGGGGTGATGTCTTACGTCACAAAGCATCGGAAGGGAATTGATGTTGTGAAATTGTTTGTAATTTATATGGATAATAAGATCTATTCTTACTACTCATGGCTGGGATGCTGTTTGCATAATGATATGAGTACAGCTGTGCAGGTCTTAGGCCACATGTTTTAAAATGGCAGGAATATCTGAAAACAGTGGAATTTGAGCCTCACTGTGATTAAATACTAGGAAATGTAACTCTTTTTTTTGTAATGTTGAATACACAGTTGACAATAAGGTGAGTGCAGTTGCTATCTGTATTGCTTTATAAAGACTGATGACATTCTGGAATGACTCGATGCACTTGTTGTTGTTGGAAATCTAAGTCACAAGATATTTTTATTGGAAATATTTGCAACTGTTGTGCAAGTGCAGGGGGGAGGTTTAAAGCTTCATAAACATTCATATTTCTTTCTCCTTATGTCACTTACTTAAAAAAAAGAAAGGCAGTCACATGCAATTATGAAACTGCTTTGTGTTTGACACAGTTGAAGATGATTTCAGGCCACAAAAACGTAAGTTTCTGTGAGTAATTTGAATTTAAACCCCACTCTGCCAGAAAACATCCTCAATCTTTGGAGTCACATGGTTCTTGGAAAGCTCTTTCTTGGCTGTGCAGGAGGTCAGCCTTTCAAGGAGAGAGTCTGTGCACAAACGTGCAGCGCTGCTAATGAGAGGAATTTCACACTTCTCCTGGACACAAGCTCTGTGTTCATCCTGCTGACTGCTGCCTCTGTAGCCTTTTGGTATTAGATGCTATAATGAATGCTGGGCCATTACCGAGCTGGTGTAGCAAACCGCTGGAACTCTAGCTAAAGAGATGCCTTCCAGAAGGCAGGGTCACCCCTCTGTGAAAATAAAAAGTAATTAAAAGTGAGGTCAGCTGTTTGTCTCTGGCAACATGGCTGCCCTTCCTTTCCCCAGTGGTGATTTTCAAGCCAAATGTCCTTTTCATCGTCACTCTGGCTTAGCAGCAAAGTTGTCTGTCACTAATAGCAGGCTTCACTTCTTTCCCAGCTAACTGGTAGTCAGACTGCCAAAGAATGGCCTATCCAGAATCAGGATATGCTCAATGCACCATCCGCTGATGGTGTTCCCATCAGCCTAATTATATGACTTTTGGGTCAGACAATGTCTCATTGTGTGGCCTTTGGCAGCTACGGGGTGCCTAATGCTGCATGAATGTCTAATGCAGAGTTTGATGGCTATGACTGAGGCTGCAGTTCCATGCTGGAATTGAAAACATCCATGTAGTTTCCTTAGAAAACCAGGTCAGTGGTGCTTCCATAAAGCCTTAGCCCCAGGGAAAGCTGTTGGTTGCACATTGCCTGTACAAATCCATGCAGGGTGAGCAGTTTACATTGCGTTACTCTTTCAGGTAAATCACAATTAAGGAGTCAGATTGATTTAGTCTTCAGTGACCTATTTCAGAATCTGAATTTATTGCAGGCACCATCCATCATCCATTTATTTCCACCTTTTCTTCTATTTTGTGCATTTAAGAACACTTGTGTTCTTAACGTATCTTAAAAACGTTGCAAATACAATAAATATCGCTTTGTATCAGTAGGTTGAAAAAATCACTTTATGTTTTCTTTGACTATAAAATTTTAGGTGGAACTATCCTATCTTTACAACGCTTCCTGTAAAACCTGCCCTTTTTACAGGCAAAAGCAAGGTATGAATGTAAAAGGCAATTCATTGTAGATGAAGGCTGTAATATGCTTGTTTGTTTCAAAGGAGAAGGTATAACTAATTATGTTTTAATTGAATCTCTAATGTCAACAGCTGTTTTTAAGGGATCTTTTTAAGCTACATTTATTTTTAGTATTGTTTAAGATTGTATTTCTTTGCATGCATCTCCATTCATGCATTATTGCCCTTTAAAAAGTTTTCCCTTTCAAAGTACCAACTAACGCTGGCATATATTAAAGTCTAAGCATTGGTAAAATTCATGTTTTAGGATGCTGGCTATGACTTTTCCAGGCTAAAAGAGCAACAGACACGACCAAAATGCCCTTTGTTCCTTTTTTACTCCCAGAAGTAAAAAGTTCAAGCTCCAAACCCCAGATTGCTGAGGCCAGTTTTCAGCTGACAGTGGTTTATGTTGGCTGGCTGTTATCAGTTCCTCTACAGTGCAGCTGCTAATTACAGTAATAGCACAACTATGTCTTTAGACTGAGTAAGCCACACCAATTTAATCCTTCCCCCCTAAGTCAGCAACAGCATCAGTGAGTAGCCTTTACTTTGTAGAGGAGATAAAAAATCTAACCCCTTTCCACATGAAAAAACTTAGCCAAACTTAGGGTTTCCTGTTTCAGGGCTTGGTCCTTTTGAGTTTCCCAGAACTCCTGTCAGCCCATAAAGCTTCAGGTATTACTGTGGCTTCTCAGTGTTCTGGGTTTGTCATTTACAACTTGGATCATCCAGCAGTAGAGAGGAAGGAAACAAAGAGTCTGTACTCGGCTTGTAGAAAGATGGAAACCCTTTCACGTGGATCTCCAGAGCCTGATGTGTCCCAGCTGCTGCAGGACTTCATGGTGAGCTCTATGTTGGGCGTTAGGGTCAAGGCCACACCAGTCATCTCCGTCCCTGGCTGGGTGAGAACCATATCTGTTGGTCACCATCTCTGCTGTAAGAGGACACAGCTGCACCTCTCTGCTTACCCCTGAGCACACCTTGCAGCTTTTAATGCTTCTGTGGAGGAAGGAGCTTACTGCTCCACAGAGCAGCATCCCACAGTTAGGTTTAGCACCCTGCGGGGCATGGCTGTAGTGCTGCTGTATCTGCCTCACCCATGGTAAAATCATTTAGGGGCATCTCCCAGCCCTGTTAAGGAGGTAATGCATCCCCTTTCTCTCTGCTCTGATTGGAGGTGTTGGTTCATGTTGTGGTGGATTTGCAGGTAGCCTGTGTCTTGCTGCTATTTCCTTGCAGTTGCTGGTCTTCCTGTAGTTATGGGATCAACCCAAAGACACCCTCTGTAGTTTCCTCCGTTTCCCCTATCACCTCTCTTCTTGCTGAACTGGATGGCTTTGTGTGATTCAGTCTCTTAAGCACTCCAGAAATAGATAGAATTTGAGAGATGATTACTGTATAGCTGTGCAGGAATATGTAGCTAATATCAGTTTACTATCTAAGCTCTAATTTTCTGTAAACATCAAAACCCAGTCATCATGAGAACCCTGAGTTGGTTTTAGAAGGCAGTTCCATTATAGATTGGGATGCTGGCGTATTTGCTAAAATTACATAAACAATAAATAAGGATTTATTATCTCTTTTAGGAAATGAGCCAATAGGCTCAGAAAGACTTGACATCTGAGGCTAAGATAATAATTGATGTAGTGGCAGGAAAATAATGGCAAATCGGAAAAACTGGTGAATCCTCTACTCAACACCTGCAAATGCATGGTGATTATGTTTTTCACTGATAAATAGAGATTTGTGAGACCCATAATCTGCAAGAGCAGAGCTGACCTTTGTATTTTACCGTGTCTTGCCAGACACCCCTCTTTGTGAGTGCACTGCATCTAGTTTTGATCTCAGGCAAGTGTAAATCGCAGTTAACACTGGTGACATCACTGTAATTGCATGTATCTGAAGTAGTGTGTTTGAGAGAAAATCAGACCTGTTCGGGTGGATTCCTCAGAGGCCGAGTCTCTGAAAGCAGAGCAAATTCACGTGAGTGACATGAATTATCCCTAGCCCGCTGCTGCTGTAAATGAAAGCTGAATCTGACTGGCTTAGTGCCATGGCTTGAATAGGATTTTTGATGAAGCATGCCGCAGCTGTCTCTACAGCAAAAATGTCTTTTATTTCAATAGTGTAAAGCAAGCAGAAATACGAAGATGTGTGGTGTTTCCTCAGCATGGTGAAGGACACTTCTATGTCCACTTCTGATGGATGGGCCAGCTGTTCTTGGAGCAGCAGGCAGCTCAAACCATTTAAATGACCTGATGGGGTAACTGAGCCTAAAAACAGCCTTTGGGGCACTTGCAAGCATTTCTGAGAATATCATACTGAGCAAAACCACTTGTTGTGGTCTTGTGGGATGTACACAAGATGCAGTTAAGAATTGGTCTTGCAGCTGGATGCGAGTGAATCACTGGATTTCTCCTCTCAATTTAGTTATTAAACAGGATAATAGCCTTGCCTTGCTGTGTTAGGGTGCTGTGAAGATAACTTCCATTAAAACATGCTTAAAATTCTGGATTGGAGAGCATAATAGAAGTGTGAAGCATCTTGTTACGTTAGACGCTGCGGCATTATCAGGCATGGTTAATCCCTAGTGTTCAACAATAATTTCTCTGTAGCAGGACAGAAAAACAGGGCCAGGAAGAAATGTGCCATAGCAAGGCTGATGGTGGCTGCAATGAAGCAGCATTTTGATTTGTGGCTCTCTCAGAACTTTGCTTAATGAATTACTATTTCTTCTTGTTAGAGGTGAATGAATCACATAAAGCTGAATTCCAGGAACTGAATAG